CCAATCCTATCCCAGTGTCCAATTGTACTTTTCTACCATCTCATCAGACTGTGTGTGAAGTGGCATTGTCCTGGTCTTTCGTATGCCAAACAACATTCAGCATTCATGGAACACAGCTGATTCAAAGTTACGGCCTTGATCTGAATGCAGTTCATATGGCATACCAAACCTGAAGAAGAAATCGCAAATAGACGAAGCTACAGTTTTAGCTTCCTGATTTGGTATTGCATATGCCTCAGGCCACTTGGTGAAATAATCCATTACCACACAAATGTACCTGTTTCCAGCACGAGTTTGGGGCAAAGGACCAGCAACGTCAATGGCTACTCTTTCCATCGGTGTGCCAACTTGATATAACTTCATTGGAGCACATCCCTTATGCATGGGTCCCCTTTTAGCACAACATGTAATGCATGTTCTGCACCATTCTTCCACATCTTGCCTCATACCTATCCAGTACAATTTCTGCCATAGGTGACTCAATGTCTTCTTAACTCCAAGATGTCCTCCTGTTAAACTATCATGAGATTAACGTAGCACAACTTCCCGTAACTTTGTCGGTATAACTGTTTGCCAGGTCGTCACTTTCCCATCTGCGGTTTCCCATCTCCGGAGAAGAATACTATCTTCAAGCGTCAATTGGTCCCATTGTGTCCAATTGTCACAGGGCTTAAGCTAAATACCTTATCCCAAGCAGGGCACAAAACACTTGCTTGTAGAAAATCAATTATTGGCTTCAAATCTTGGTCTTTCTCCTGTTCTGCTTTAATATCTATACTTGGTTCCACTTCACCATCATCAACTCCTTCAGCTTGATGGCACCTGGTTAGTTCAACCTCTCTTTTGCAGCAATATCTGTAGCCATTTTTGCAGGGTCTTCAGTTCAGTCTGTTGGCATTTCCGTGAGATTTTCCTTCTCTGTATTTGATATCATAATTATACTGGTCTATTTTTCCAATCCAACGTGCCAGTTGTCCCTCTGGGTTCTATAATGATCTTAACCAGCGTAATGCAGCATGGTCTGTCCTGATGGCAAACCTGGCATCATAGAGGTAAGGATAGAAATATGTCAGACTCTTTACTATAGCAAGGAGTTCCCTCCGTGTTTCACAATAGTTACTCTCTGGTCTACTTGGGACCCTACTGAAGTAGGCCACCACATGTTCATTTTTCACCCGCTTTCTGAGACAACACTCCTCCAATTCTGACATTACTAGCATCACAATCCAGTATGTAAAGCAGTGAGGGATCTGAAA